CTGCCCAGACAGACAGACAGACGCCTAGTCCTATAGTATATTAAATTATTGCCTTACCACAGTCAAAATACCAAAAGATTGAAAGTAAAAAAAAAATAAAAAAGTAAAAAAAAAAAATAAGTAGACCAATTATCTTTCATCAGTTCAATATTTTTTTCGTTGTTGTTACAGGTAATGACAGGTGAGGAGTAATTACGGTAACCCAGAGAGCTATTGATTGACTTTATCCCGTGGTATATGACAGAGCTGCTCGCATCTGGCATGAATTAATTACTTATAAAGAAAATAGTTAGACTATTAATGATTTATACGATATATACAACAGGTGATGTATGCCTCTCTCTCTCTCTCTCTCTCTCTCTCTCTCTCTCTCTCTCTCTCTCTCTCTCTCCTTTAGCGTAACTCTTTTTCACCCTTCATTCTTTTTTTTCTTCTCCCTCATTCACCCTTCCCCCCCCCACCCCTTCGCCCCCCCCCTTCCTCTAAGCTCCCTCCCTCCTCCTCTCCTCTCACCTGAAAATCCATTTCATTAAAATAACAAAATTGCGACCTACTGGGGTGTGTCTCTACCTGAGAGTTAATGAATCAGTTGTCCAGGTGATGAGGGGCTCTCTCTCTCTCTCCTCTCTCTCTCTCTCTCTCTCTCTCTCTCTCTCTCACCTCCAACAAAACCAAACGTCATTTAGAGGTATAATCCACGTTTATGGGGCATGACGTTCACTGATTGGATCCTTACCCTCCGTGACGTCTGTCCTTAGGAGAGCAACAATCAGCACACGTCATGCCACATAAACGTGGATATTTTAATGTGGTGGCTATCATACTGAGAAGACCGGACTTGGGGAGAGAGAATGATATAATGAAGATACAGAAAAAGATGATGCAATAATAAGAAACAGAAGGACAAGAAGACGAAACGACGAAGTAAAAGAAAAGAAAAAGAAATAATAGAAGAAAAAGAAGAAGAAGACTCGGCTCTCGATGCCAGGAGACGAGAGGCAGTAGTCCACCTTAACTTTATTGAAGCACACACACACACACACACACACACACACACACACACACACACACACACACACACATTCACTGGTACAGACACACAAACACACACAGTACATCACACACACACACACACACACACACACACACACACACACACACACACACACACACACACACACACACACACACACACACACATTCACTGGTACAGACACACAAACACACAGTACATATACACACAGATACACAGACACACACATACAGACACATACACAAACACACACACACATACAGACTAAAACCATATTATCTCCCCATACTCCACCATATATACAGTTGTGGCGCAGGAAAAAAAAAATAAATTATATAACTAGCCATAATCATCATCTTTCATAAGCAGCAGCAGGAGGAGGAGGATTAGGAGGAAGACGAGAAAGGAGGAGAAGGAGGGAGAGGAGAAGGAGGGTGTTTACGTTAGCTTGTGTGACCCTGGGGAGACAGATTACCGCCCTGAGTAATGTTTTTATCCTTCACTTTGGCTAGAGTGGTGATGAGGTGTCGTGTGGTGACGTGTAGAGAGAGAGAGAGAGAGAGAGAGAGATTTTAATATCACTCATCTTATATTTTTTTCTATTTGTTTGTCTCTTTTCTTCCTCTCTCTTTCTGTCTCTCTCTCTCTCTCACCCTCTCTCTCTCACTCTCCCATTCTCTTTCCTTCCCTCTCACTCCCTCTCACCCTCATGATCCAAAGTCAACACAATATCTCACCTCTGATGCGTCACCTATACCTCGTAAATTATATTGGCTAATCAGGAGGGATTACTTGGCTCTGGGTGCAGTGGGCCCTAACCTAACCTAACCTAACCTAACCTAACCTAACCTAACCTAACCTAACCAACTAAAGGTAACAAAACTTAATCTAACCTTTTATTAACGGCTCTAACCTGTATGTATATGTGTGTGTGTGTGTGTGTGTGTGTGTGTGTGTGTGTCTGTGTGTGTGTGTGTGTGTTATGTATCAGATTCAGTTAACCATGTATGTTTTTTTTATAGTCATGTTCAGTTATTTTCCCTTTTTTTCCCCCCCTAACCTTTTTTCCTCTGGTGTCGGAGAGCGATTTATTTTCCATCTGTTTTTTTTACCCTCGACTCTTTCCCTCGCTCTAGTGTAGGTGTTTCCGTCATATTTTCCCGGCAATGCTGGAGAGATAATTTCATCCCTTTAATACCAATTTATTTTTTGAGGTTAGGTTAGGTTAGTGGTGGAGAGAGAGAGAGAGAGAGAGAGAGAGAGAGAGAGAGAGAGAGAGAGAGAGAGAGAGCACAAATTGACAAACAAAACACTAAAAAAACACAGATTGAAAACAAAACAAAACACAAATATTCCAAAACAAACATCACCACAATTATGACGTCTTAACCATCAGAAGAACAGATAGAAGAATGAGGAAGAATGAAGAAAAAAGAAGAAAGAAGAAGATTGAAGAAGACAGTTTTTCTCTGGTTATGTTGAGTTATAGCCAATGTAAACATGACGAGGACCGAGAAGAGTTCTTAAACACAGGGCAGAAGAAAATCCGCCTTGTTATGATGGGTGTACACAAATGCCTCTTACCTCTCGTTAAAAAGACATTGTTTATTTTAGGACTTGGTAAAAACTACATACATACATACATACATACATACGGTAAGGGAAGAGAGGAGGGGTGGTGAGGGAAGAGGAGGGGCGGTAAGGGAAGAGAGGAGGGGCGGTGAGCGGAAAAGAGGAGGGGCGGTGAGGGAAGAGAGGAGGGCGGTGAGGGAAGAGAGGAGGGGCGGGTGGGAGGGAAGAGAGGAGGGGTGGTGAGGGAAGAGGAGGGGTGGTGAGGGAAGAGGGAGGGGTGGTGAGGGGAGAGGTGGGGCGGTGGGAGGGAAGAGAGGAGGGGGGGGTGGGAGGGAAGAGAGGAGGGCGGTGGAGGGAAGAGGAGGGGTGAGGAGAGAAGAGGGGAGGGGTGTGGAGGGAAGAGAGGAGGCGGTGAGGGAAGAGAGGAGGGGCGGGAGGAAGAGAGGAGGGTGGTGAGGGAAGAGAGGAGGGGCGGTGAGGGAAGAGAGGAGGGGTGGGTGGAGGAAGAGAGGAGGGCGGTGAGGGAAGAGGAGGGGTGGTGGAGGGAAGAGGTAGGGGCGGTGAGGGGAAGAGAAGGGCGGTGAGGGAAGAGAGGAGGGCGGTGAGCGGAAAAGAGGAGGGGCGGTGGAGGGAAGAGAGAGGAGCGGTGAGGGAAGAGAGGAGGGCGGTGGAGGGAAGGAGGGGCGGTAAGGGAAGAGAGGAGGGTGGTGAGCGGAAAAGAGGGAGTAAGGGTGAGGGAAGAGAGGAGGGGCGGTGAGGGAAGAGAGGAGGGGCGGTGAGGGAAGAGGGGAGGGGTGGGTGGAGGGGAAGAGAGGAGGCGGTGAGGGAAGAGAGAAGGGGCGGTAAGGAAGAGAGGGAGGGGCGGTAAGGGAAGAGAGGAGGGGCGGTGAGCGGAAAAGAGGAGGGTGGAGGGAAGAGAGGAGGGCGGTGAGGGAAGAGGGAGGTGGGAGGGAAGAGAGGAGGGGCGGTAAGGGAAGAGAGGGGGCGGGAGGGAAGAGAGGTGGGGCGGTGATGGAAGAGAGGAGGGGCGGTGATGGAAGAGAGGAGGGGCGGTGAGGGAAGAGGAGGGGCGGGCGGTGAGGGGAGAGGCTAGACAGGGAGGTAGGTACACGAGACCCCTTGAGGCTGGGATGCGCCTCTTGTGACCTGCGCTGGGTCTTGCCTAGTGACACAAAAGTTAGAAACAAGAAAAATCACCCCTGATGGAGTCTTAAATAAACGTCGGCACACCACCACCAGCAATAACAATAACAGCAACAACAACACCACCAACAATAACAACTCCACCAGCAATAACATTAACAACCCCAACAATAACAATACCACCACCAGCAGCAATAACAACAACACCAGCAATAACAACAACACCAGCAACAATAACAACAACAATAACAACTTCAACTTCAATAACAGTCTCGTAAGGTGAAATATATCCATAATTGATGAGTGTTAAGAGTGAATCTACTTCGTTGACTTAAACCACGACGCAAATGTTGACGCAAATGTTGCCTCTCAAAGGGTAATAATTCAAAATGTCCAGGTAATTCCAGAGGTTGAGAATGTAACTACAGTAGCTGTCTCCCTTGACCTAACCTAACCTAACCTGACCGAACCAAACATGTGAATTCTTGGTCAGTGATGATTACGATGGAAATTAACAGTGACACCGTGAGGCGATAAGTCATAGCAGATCATGGTGTCATCCTGTACAACCTGGGAACACACAAACACCTGAACGAGGACGAGACTGGTATAATACATGAAAGAAATCAGTGTAACGAGTCTTTTATTATGGTAAGGGCGGTAAAGACTCCTCACAACACCCACGTCTCGCCCAAGTCTGCTGGGATATAAATGTGTCTTGAGTTTATACACACGCTGACGGAGAGAGAGAGAGACTCGGGGGTAAAAGTTTTCTATTTTGCGAAGTTGTTTGTGCCGGGCGCTGCTCACCGCTACCTGGTAAAAGGAGGATTTTCTGCTCGATATAATGTTGGTAAGAGATTCCTGGCAGACGTGTTGTGAAGGTCAATATTATAACTCTACCAAGTGCTTTCATTTACACCTGTCTGAGCCTGCATGTTTGTGAGCAGTTTTCAATTTCCCTATTTTTCTGTCATGTCCTAAAGGTTCAGTTTCTCAAGGGTGTATATTGGATATTTCACACCCGAGTTAAGTATTTTCCGCTCCGTTGACCTATTGACGCAGTGGCTGGGTCATAGATGTGTTATGAGAAATGTTCCTTAACTTTTGCTGATACGTGTAGCAATGGGTGAACTTATATGTACCCACACACACCCACCCACACACACACACACACACACACACACGCACACACACACACACACCCACACCCACACCGTGTCATAGCCCCCACCCCGTGTCATAGACTCACCTCAGGGATAGAGTCACGTTCTCTCGGGGGCGTCTGGCTGCGTCGCTGGTTCCTGGTCTTGGTGTAGGCTGAGGACTGTCGCTTGAGGCTCGTCTCCTCGCCCTGGGGGACCTTGCCGATCTGCAGGAAGGTCCGAAAGATGTCCTTGATGTGTAGGTTCTCCTTGGCCGAACACTCGATCACGCGACATCTGTGGGTTGTGGAGAGAGAGAGAGAGAGAGAGAGAGAGTGGGGGTTATAATATATTAGAGAGAGAGAGAGAGAGAGAGAGGTACAGTATATTAGAGAGAGAGAGAAAGAAACATAGTATATGAGAGAGAAAGAGATAGAGCGCCCCCACGCCCCCACCTCCCAACAAATTTACGTTCCATAATTTTTTTTCTGTTTAGTTTATGACAAAAAAGAATTTGAACTAATTAACACGGTGACCCAGAGAGCACTGATGGAGGCAGGCAATACAAAAGACAGACCTGGAATCTTCGTCTGGCGTACGTGAGAGTGCTCGTGGTATGGTAGATTATTTCGTATGCTGTGAGAAATGAAGGTGATTATCTCTCTCTCTCTCTCTCTCTCTCTCTCCGTCTGTCTGTAGCTTTATGCAACTCACAGTATCAGAATGGAGTCACAAAAGGTCAGTGACTACAAGTTTTATTAAAAAAAATTGTAATGTCTCACTTTGATGACGTAAAGAAAACGGAGAGACTCCCCCCAAAAAACACGAGAAAGAATCTCTAGGTATGACTTATTGGCTTCTGGTTTCATTATTTTTCCCGGAGGTATAAAGGTTCCGCCCGTTCTTTTCATCACTACTCGGGTAAATTTATTCAGCCTAAAAAATGGAATAACTCATCTTGGTTAATATTGGTAATGAAAATGTAATGTTTGTTTTTTTTAATTGTCATCAAAATATTCGAATCATTGGGTTGTTTTTTTAATTTATTTATTTATTCTTGTAAGTGAATATAGTTCCCATAACACAGTGTACCCAATAAGCCTTCATTCCCCAACTACTGTATAAAGTTAGGTACCCATTCACAGTTGGGTAGACTGGGGGTTCCTCGGGATCAAACCAGCTTCCCGTAGGTCAGGAGGCGAGTTGCTGTATACATTCGGCCACTGCTCCCTACTCTTTGATATTTACCATGAGTGCTGAAGTAACCGGATAAATAATAATAATAATAATAATAATAATAATAATAATAATAACCTAACATTTCAGTGGATTTGTAACTGAGAGGATATTGATGCTGGGGTGATGGTGGTGGTGGTGGTGATGTGGTTGTGGTGATGGTGGTGGTGATGGTGGTAGTGGTGATGGTGGTGATGGTGGTGATGTGGTTGTGGTGATGGTGGTGGTGATGGTGGTAGTGGTGATGGTGGTGGTGATGGTGATGGTGGTGAGGTGGGGTGGTGATGTGGTTTATTGTTGATGGATTTGTGGTGATGGTGGTAGTGGTAGTGGCGATGAAGATTAGAAAAAAAGCGAAAATGGATAAAAGGCAGGTGAAGAGAGTCAAAAAGAAAATCAGAAAGGAAATAAAAGAAATAAAAAAAGAAAGAAAGAAAGAAAAGAAATAGCAATAGGAAGTGATCCAGAATTTATCTCGACGAATCAATATAAAATAATATTCTTGAACTAGGAACACACACACGTACACACACACACACACACACACACACACACACACACACACACACACACACACACGTACACTACTGGGTTCCGTCACCACCACGCGCACACCTGTCAACCTTACCTGTCATATTTACCCGCCTCAGCACCTACTCTGTCTCTTTCTAGCCGTGTTCTGTCTATTTTTAGCCATTGTCTGTATCTGTCTACACTGTCTGTCTGTCTGTCTGTCTGTCTTCTCTTGCCTCCCCTTGTTAGGTTCCTTCGGCGTGAATTATTTGTTTTTTTGTCTTACTTTTATTTATTATGATTTTCAGGTGTTACTTAAATAATCGTCGTCAAAGGGTTAAATCATCGTCGTCAAAGGGTTAAATCATCGTCGTCAAAGGGTTAAGAAGAATAAGATCGTATATATTATGAACGTTTTCAGTATTTGCACACACACACACACACACACACACCACACACACACACACACACACACACACACAATCATTTCCACCAGAGAGAGACGTTTGGAGACACACAGTCATATATCATATTTCTGAAAGGTGTGTGTGTGTGTGTGTGTGTGTGTGTGTTGATTAAATATTGCATGTTTATTGTACAGAAAAACGTTTTGTGCTGTAATGTAATAACTGTTAAATATACAGGAGAGAGAGAAGAGAGAGAGAGAGAGAGAGAGAGAGAGAGAGAGAGAGAGAGAGAGACCACATCGCAGTACAGTAAAGTAGATGACAAACTCTTCGTATTACCTTGTTTACACCCCCTTCCCTCGATGGACAGTGACGAGAGACTGGTACTTCACACCAGTCTCAACCTTCAGTACCCATGAGTCGAAGAGGAAGTGAACAATAGTGATGATGATTCACTTGTAAATATTTATTCTATGGTGGTGATGTGGGAAGTGGCCTGGCCGTGGACCTAGCTTAAAAAAAGAAACTTGAGTAGATAAAACTTGAAGCAGTGAAGAGATAAACCTTGAAGCAGTGAAGAGATAAAATTTGAAGCAGTGAGAAGATAAAACTTGAAGCAGTGAAGAGATAAACCTTGAAGCAGTGAAGAGATAAAATTTGAAGCAGTGAGAAGATAAAACTTGAAGCAGTGAAGAGATAAAACTTGAAGCAGTGAAGAGAGATAAAATTTGAAGCAGTGAAGAGATAAAACTTGAAGCAGTGAGAAGATAAAACTTGAAACAGTGAGCAGGGAAAAGAAACTGAGAGAAGTGTTTCTTTTTTTTCATTCCGTAGTTTCTCAGAAGTTGTTGCCTATATGAAAAAAAAAGTAAAACTGACATTGAATGAGAAAATGAAGGAGACATTCTACCCCAGCAAGAGTGAAGACCAGAATAAACAGACTGACAACCTTCTACCTGTCTGCCTGAAACTGATTACTAATTTAGGGTTCAGGTGACTACATAACACCATCTTAAGACTCTCCTGGGGAAGTGGTCACCGAACCCCCACCTTTTACCTATAGATTAGTTTCAGACATCACTTGATTTGTCTTAATTATTTCCGTGATATATGTTGAGTATATGTTTGTGAAGTAGATATTATAACCATTGTTTAGTTTATTTTATTTTTATTTTATTTATATTTATTTATTTATTTTTTTGAAAGAGTGAAAATATACTCATGTCAGGAAGGGTTTACGTTTTAGATAAATAATCATACTGGTTTATTTTCAAATCAATTTAATAAGTGTGTCAAATATGTTTTCAGATATAATGCCGGCAAATTACACTAATTAACGTAAACATTTGAATATAATGCGACCGGACAGTATTTTACCGGATCAAAGTGTTCGTTATTAGACCGTAAAACTCGGTTGAGGTTTAGGAAATGAACAGGTATTATATATCACTGGACATGGTCTTTGATACCATAGAGATAATTTAATTTCAGAATATATATATTAAATAACTAAATACCTCCATAGGTCATCTCTCTCTTTTATAGAAAACGACTCATCTAATTGTATAGGAAGACGGATCAGCCAATCAGCTACTCGGGATTACCTGGTTACTGTTTACCATTGGTTGAAAGAAAGAAATTAATTGTTTACAAGTGACATTCAGTAACACAAAGGGATTAAATAATTACGTTGAGTGAAATGAATCATACATACATACATACATACATACATACATACATACATACATACAGTCGCCTCCTACCTGTTGTACGGCAAGTCAAAGATCAGAGATGGAAGAGGAAGGAGGGACTCACTTTACTCTGGCAGTCAATAGTTGTGTCTGTCAGTTTGATTTAGTATACCCTCACCACTAGCCATCCTCCGTTTTCTTTAAGTTCTTCCCCTTGTTTTATTATAATCTCTGGTCTACTACACCCATCGTATTTTGTCCAGTGGTGTTTTGTCCAGTGGTGTTTTGTCCAATGGTGTTTTATTCAGTGGTGTTTTGTCCGCTGGTGTTTTGTCCAGTGGTGTTTTGTCCAATGGTGTTTTATTCAGTGGTGTTTTGTCCAGTGGTGTTTTGTCCAATGGTGTTTTATTCAGTGGTGTTTTATTCAGTGGTGTTTTGTCCAGTGGTGTTTTGTCCAGTTATATTTTGTCCGACCCTCACGCTCTCGTTGGTGTCTTTTTATAAGTATTAATTAAATTTTTCTCACCGCCATAGAATAAAGATTGAAAATAATGTTCTCCCTGTCCGTCCGTCCGTCCGTCCGTCCGTCCGTCCGTAATGTAACTTGAACAAGACTTAGCGGACCAAAATAAACAACTTAGACCAACAAGAGTTTTTTCTTTACTTAAAATAATACACAAGTTACGGCCTCACATTTTGACGATAGTTTTTATCGGGAGTAAACATATTATACCTGTATTATTATTGATATTATTATTGTGTGAGACAAGACGTAAAAAAGTCTTGAACATCACACCTACCACGAAAGACGTCAGGGATTTGACATTCATCACCAAGAATCAGTGGACACCTTGAATGAATTTATGGTCGCCCTAAAGAGAGAGAGAGAGATTCTATTTACCACATGCAGCCAAAATCTTCTCCTTTAAAAATAAATAAAAAAAAATATTAAAAAAAGGATTCCCGTATCTCCAACTATTTTATCTGGGGGAAAAGGCCACAGTCTTGATAGTAAATAGCTCCCATCTTTTACCAGGGTGCCTCCAGTCGCCTTCTGTGATAGGTGAAATGTTGAACTGTGTCTTAAAGGGATTTGGTGGAGTTTTTTTTTAAGCTAACCATACCATACCACACCACATCTCACCACATAATACCACACCACATCTCACCACATAACACCACACCACATCTCACCACACCAAATCTCACCACACCACATCATACCACACCACATCATACCACATATCACCACACCACATCTCACCACATAACACCACACCACACCTCACCACACCACACCACACCATACCACAGTCTTTTCTCACCTCTCTCTGTTCATTAAGAAGGAGAGGAAAAATAATAGTAAGTAGTTAAGACACCAATTATTATTTTTACGGTGATTACGAGGACAAGTTAGTGATGATGTTTGATTATATTCCTGTAAAGGATGGGCGGAGTCACAGAGGGTGGGATACGGATGGGCGGAGTCACAGAGGGTGGGATACGGATGGGAAGGAGTCTATGTTTATCTTTCTCTGCCTGTCTGTCTGTCTGTATCTGTCTGTGTCTATCTGTCTGTGTCTGCCAAACTAACTCTACATTTAGCTTAACGTAATATATATCCTTTGTAGTAGTTGAATGAGGGTGTGCCAAGTCCGTAGAGTTGGTATTGATAGATTTAACACAACCTACCCTAACTTAAACTATTGCTGGCTTTATCCATAACCTAACCCTACCCTATATTGACCTGACCTAACCTAACCCAATCTTAACCTAACCTGACCTGACCTAACCTATGGCTGTACTGTGGTATAAGCTTCCCCTTCCGGGTTGAGGACATAGGCTATCGGACGTAGAAGTTTCCTGACCTCTGTTGACACTAAATTCCGCCGAGTAAAAGCTGTAAGACCCTGTGAGGCTATTGGTGGTCCTGAGAGAGGGGGGTGGGAGGGTCCTGAGGGAGGTGGGGGAGGGTCCTGGGAGAGGGAGTGAGGGAGATCCTGGGGGAGGGAGAGGGAGGTACTGCGGGAGATCCTGAGGGAGGAAAGAGAGAGGTCCTGAGGGAGGGAAGTCCTAGGGAAGGAGAGAAGGAGGTCCTGGAGAAGGGAGGGAGGAATCAGACAGCCTCACCTAAATCTCTGTAGCTCTCTGTAGATCCACTCGGTGACGTCCTCCTTGAACACCTGTCTCTCCACCTCGAGGTCCATCTTGTTGCCGGCGATCACTATGGGTATCTCCTCGAAGTCTGTACGTTGTTCCTTGATCTCCTCGATGCACTGGCGGACGGTGTCGAAGGACTGACTGTGGCTGATGGAGTACACGATGAGGAAGGCGTGAGCGTTGGCTACGGAGAGTCTCCTCATGGCCGGGAACTGGAAGTCTCCGGCGGTATCGAGGATGTCAACCTTGAGGGTGATGCGCCCGAACTCGTAGTCCCGGTTATAGAGATCCTCGACGGTGCTCTTGTACTTGTCCGTGTACTTGTTGTAGAGGAAACGGCTGATGATGGAGCTCTTACCGACGCCAGCTCCCCCCAGCAGCACCAGCCGGATGCGATGCTCACTGTCGCTCATCCCGACGAAGGTTCACCGGCTGATCTTGGTCCAGGTACGGGAGTGTTTGTCTCCTCAGTGTGTTGCGGCGTCACACTCCCCGGGACGCTTCATGCGGCAACCTGCGGACACAACACGAGACATGAGTATAATAAACAATTTTATTTAACAAGAAATTATCTCCCTCATGTTTCCTGCCCTTCCCTTACTCCTTTATTCTCCTACTACCTTTCTCTTGTTCCTCCCCACCTCTCATTAATCCCCTCCCCTCCACACCATACCATATCTCCCCTTCCACCCATATCTCCTCACCTCCCGTCTTACCATGCTTTCCAACCTCCTCACCACCTCCCTCCCACCCCTGTATCGCCTCACTCCTCCCACCCTCGTATCATTCCACCTCCCTCCCACCTCTGTCACTCTCACCTCCACCTCTGTATCACTCTCACCTCCCACCCCTGTATCAATTTCTCCCCTGTATCACCCCACCTCCCTCCACCACCTAAGGGATGTCAAACATTCAGGTATTTTCCTCCTCTTGTCTGAGTTTTTAATTAAGTCCCGAACTTTGCTGCGACTTGTTCGATCGTCTGCGCCGTGTTGATGGAGTCAAACACCCCATCACTTAATCTTAAATCCGTGTTTAGTTTTAATTATGAGTTGATATCTTGATGTGTGTGTGTGTGTGTGTGTGTGTGTGTGTGTGTGTGTGTGTGTGTGTGTGTGTGTACCTGTGTTAGGAGCCTGATCAGGTGGCCAGGTAATGAGGGTGAGGAGGCCAAGACGTTCTCAAGGGCCAGGAGGAGGATGGGAGATAGGAAAGATAGAGGGAGAGAGGGGGGGGAGGAAGGAGGGAGGAAAGAGTAAGAAAGTAAGGAAAGGGGAAGGAAGGAAGGCGTAGTAAGGAGGGAGAAGGAAGAAGGAGGGAGGAATAAGAAAGTAAGGGGAAGGAAGGAAGGGGAGCAGGTGGTAAGGAGGAGAAGGGAAGGAGGGAGGGAGAATAAAGAAAGTAAGGAAGGAAGGAAGGAAGGAAGGAAGGAAGGAAGAAGAAGGCAGGTGTAGTAAGGAGGAGAAGGAAGAAGGGAGGGAGGAATAAGAAAGTAAGGGAAGGGAGGAAGGAAGGGGAAGATGTGTAAGGAGGAGAAGGGAAGAAGGGAGGGAGGAATAAGAAAGTAAGGGAAGGAAGGAAGGAAGGAAGGAAGGAAGGAAGCAGACGATCTTTAACCAGTATACAATATTAAGGTTAACGACACAGATAATTTAGTCTTGCAATAATCCTCAATAAACATTAACTTAATTAGCTCTTGCAATATCCATCAATTGAGCCACCCTTTTATTGCAATAAGCCCAATGATGTTAAGTAATTAGTTTATGCAATAGACATTTAATTAACCTTAAGTAATTAGCTTGTGGAGTATCGCTTCACCTGACCCCTCACCTGACCCCTCACCTGATCCCTCACCTGACCCCTCACCTGACCCTCACCTGTAATATGATCGCGGTTGCATGCCTGGGTCTTGCTCTCAAAGGCCTAGGGAGGGGTGGGGGTGATACTGCGTTAGTCATGCAAATTATTATGTGAAATTAATACTTTTATTTATACTTTGTTTAAATTAATTCATAAAGTTTAATTTAAAAAATGTTATAGGTAGATATGTGAGAATTTATTTATTTGTTTATTCTATTAGTTTCTCGTTTGGGATGTTAGGCGATTATTGTGAGGATGTTTATTAAAAGATTTGTGATTGGCCGAGTTTCATTACGTAATTTCTACGAAATAATCTGATTGGCTGGATATCATGACGTAACTTTCTCGAAATAATCTGATTGGCTGGATCTCATGACATAATTTTTACGAAAGAATCTGATTGGCTGATTGCCATGACGTCATTGTCACGAAAAGAATCCCCATTGGTGGATATCTCAGGTAATTCCCCCCAGATAAGAAATTTATAGGTGTCAATAAATGGTTCAGCTGGGATCATAATGTCTCACCTAAGTGCCAGGTGAGGAATATTTGGCACTCGAGTCTTTTAATTAGCGCCACTGTTGGGGGGGAGAGGAGGAGGAACGGACGTATTGCATTTTACACCAAGCAATGAGAAAAAAAATAGAAATTACGCGGGAAAAGAACTTGAGGAACTTAGACCTTAATGACCAGAGAGGAACTTAGAACTTAATAACTGACTGTTTGACTGAATTGATTGGCCATCTGTCAGTCACATCTCTGGTTTTCTCTGTTAGTCACATCTTGCTATTAACAGACAGACAGATGACAGACAGAGAAACATACAAAGACACCAATCTAGAGACAGACAGACAGACAGACAGACAGAGACACAAATCTGCAGACAGACACACAAGCAGACAGTACAGTTCTCCCATCAGGCAGGCAGGCAGGCAGACAGGCAGGCAGGCAGGCAGGCAGGTATGAAGACTACACAGTGGGCCAGGTGGAGCCAGTAGGTACGGTGGCTGGGTGAGACTAAACAACACTCTTACTTTCTCTCTCTCTCTTTTCTTTCTTGGTTTATCTTTCTTTCTTTCTTTGTCTCTAAAATTAATCTGGCCTCTCTCTCTCTCTCTCTCTCTTTTTTTTTACATTCCAGCTCCGGCTTCTCAGGTGTTTCCGGTAATAGGTTTAACTTCCGTGTGTTGGTAATATTACGGGGCCTTTGTAGGTCACTCACCGGGAAGCATGGATCTACCTCACCTGGAAACTTAGTTAATGTGACCTGACCTGACCTTCACTACCTCACCTAAAACTTAGTTAATGTGACCTGACCTGACCTGACCTTCACTACCTCACCTGGAATCTTAGTTACTGTGACCTAACCTGACCTTCACTACCTCACCTGGAAACTTAGTTAATGTGACCTGACCTGACCTTCACTACCTCACCTGGAAACTTAGTTAATGTGACCTGACCTGACCTTACTTTTACTACTAACCCGGGAACCTAACCTAACCTCTCCAAACTTAACCTGACCTAACCTACCAATGAACCAGCCAGTCAACATGACAAATAAACGGACAAACCACTAATACTGCCCCCTTGAATAGAGGAGGGAGGGAGGGAGGAGGAGGGCATGCACAAAGAGATTATATGAATTGAGTCTTAATTATAGTTGTAATATATAATATGTAGCTATAATACATATAAAAGTATATAGCTTCATCCCTAAGTTATCCTCACTGACCAATCATTACCCCCTCTCTCTCTCTCATCGACCAATCATAACCTTTCTTTCTTTCTCTCCCTTTCTACCTAACCCATCATTACCTACCTTTGTCTTCCAGGTAGAACTAATTAATAATTACAGGTATAAACATCAACGGAGGGGCTGTGTGTGTGTGTGTGTGTGTGTGTGTGTGTGTGTGTGTACATTACCTGGTATAGAAGAAATTATTATTGGCATTATGGTTCGGTAAGATGATGACTGCTGGGTGGAGGGGTACTGGCCAATCAGGAGGGATGGAAGTAGTAATGGTGTGTTGTGATTGGTTTATTTTAGTCTGTTGTGTGTGTCTGTGTGTGTGTGTGTGTGTGTGTGGTAAATAAAACGCCTGTCATTATACTAGGGGTGGGGTGGGGGGGGGGGGATACCGTACATACCACAAACACGTGTTCCAGTCCATTAGAAAAAATTGTACATAAAAAAAAGATAAGCAAGTGAAAATAAATCTTGTTTTTTTCGTCGAGTTTTCAGAACAGGTTAAAAGCAAGCATGTTACAGGCCCCACTAACAGGTCACAGGTATTTTTCGTGGTCGTTTTTTGTTTGTACAGGTTACAGGTTTCCATAAAAGGTTACAGGTCTCCCTAACAGGTTACAAGTCTCCCTAACAGGTTACAGGTCCCTCAAGATCGTGTTTGGTAGTTGTACAGGTCACAGGTCTGCTTCATGGTCGTTTGTGATGATGTACAGGTCACAGGTCATTTTCCCTAACAGGTCACAGGTCTCCCTAACAGGTCACAGGTACCTCTCATGTGTGTGTATGATGGCTGACAATTCCCTCAACATCAAACGTCAGCAACAAAATTTTGGAATGTCAGCAATGTGAGAGAGTATTTGTGTGTGTGGATTGTTGCATAGATGTGCTGTCAGCTGTCTGTTGTCAGCCGTACTGTACATTGTTGTCAGCTCAACATTGACCGTCATATAATACTACCAAACCCATGTCGTCAGTAATACAGTGTTGCTAACCCGCAATACTAACTCGATATTGACTGTATGTTTTGACTGATCACACACACACACACACACACACACACACACACACACACACACACACACACACACACACACACACACACACACACTATTGCCTGAGACGGAAAAACAAACACGTTTCAAAACATGTTTATTACTTCCAGCTGGTCTGAGGCAAAACACCGTCTCACATGGTAGTGTGGTGAACTACACTACAGTACAGTGGAACCTCCAAGATACAGGTGACTTTCTCCAAATAATCCGTTTGATGGAGGTTTCACATATAACGGACCCTCGATATAATGGACTTTCCTCTCAATATAATCTGTTAACAAATAATACTTTGGAAAAATCGTAATAATGCTTATTATCTCTCGTGTTGCGAAGCCCAGAATATAACAAGTAACTATTATCACCACACAACACACCTGCCTGCACAGAACACACCTGCCTTCACAGAACACACCTGCCTGCACAGAACACACCTGCCTTCCGTGAAGAAGGTGTACCGAACTGTCTTTTTGGTCTGAAATTTACTAGATAATATTATTTTTACTTTTTTACAGCAATAAGATCATTATCATACCAAGAGCTGAATAAATCCTGAATATGGCCTGAGGTGTGATTATGTTAGTGGGAAGGGGGGGTAAGGGAGGGAGGTAAGGGGAGGAGGTAGGGTCAGGAGAGAAAATACACGATAAATACATATTTTAATGAAAATTCAATTACCTTATCTGGCCACCATGAAATTGGATACGTGGAGTTCGCTTTCAATCGTCCATTTGTCAATTACGGGCTTATTTTTGACCAATAACGGCCTGAGAAATATTTTTGATTGGCCTATCTGTAATTATTTTTCGTCCACCAGGTGAAATGTGTTGACACCTGGAGTGGAGGGGGGACTCTCTTGTGACCGTCGGGAGGAGAGGGAGGGGGGTTGACGTCATGGTGCAAAAATTCCAAACTTCTTTTTCTTTCTTTTTTGTCCGTCGGTGCGTTGTATGTCGACTTTGGTGTGGTGATGTGTATCGTTCATGTATAGCAGGGTCCAGGGTCGAGCAGGGTCGAGCAGGGTCCAACAGGGTCCAACAGGGTCCTTCAAATATCCCAGGCTTGACTCACGAAACTCAAGTAAAGAAGGATGAGTAATTTCGTCATCTTTCTGTGTACGAGTTCCCGTGATGTTACGTTACGTTGTTACTTTATGTTGTGTTTGTTATGTTATGTTATGTTATTTTATGTAAAGTTGTGTCTGTTATGTGCGTAAAGTTGTGTCTGTTATGTACGTAAAATTGTGTCTGTCATATTATGTACGTGATGTTGTGTCTCCTATGTTATGTAACTGTCTGCAACATCTTCCCCTTGTTATAACATTACAGCATTATTACAGCAGTAGAATACAGTTTTATGACAAGTAATGATTATTGTCTCTCTCTCCGTGTAAGGTTAATGTAGGGCTGTAAGCGTTTAGTTAATAGAGAGAGTTAAACATATCCTCACGTCGATTCACCTTCCCAGCTCTCAAGTGACCCAATCATCTGAGTTACTGTGTACACACGACTTAACTGTTGGACGCTGATACAGGGGGGGAGAGGGATGGAGGATGCAGGCGACTATTGGTACGATGGTCGATTGGAATTGGTGGTGCCAATTAGAGGTGGCTGTTCGAATTGGATCCCTAATTTTCATGCTTTGGATAAGTTAGTCTCTCTCTCACACACACACACACACACACACACACACACACACACACACACACACACACACACACTCATGATTATTTTACACACCTGCAGAAAACCGAGAAAAAACTGTCTTGGAAACATGAGAGCGATGGTCTTTGATGAATGACCCGCCCAGGTAAACCTTATAACCAGAACTGATTTTTTATTTTTATTTTATTTCTGTACATATAATTTGCTTTTCACAGAACTGGACGAGGAAGTGGAGGGCTTAATGGGATTGTGTTATTTTTACCCCGACCACTCTTTTGAAGCTTAGGGTGCTGAAATGTTGCGATACAAAACTGTAGGTTAAAAAAAAAAGAACCAGGTGATATATTTTGTTATGTATATGTTTGAGAAATTACGAATATATTAATTTGAAAATAAAAAACATTTAATAATTACAACGTGACAGCTGGGGTGCACTGGTGGATGTCTGTTATTATAACTTATGTTTTACACCACCCCAGGTTTTGTCCCCTCCCCTCCCCCCTGTCACCTGTAGTGTGTGTGTGTGTGTGTGTGTGTGTGTGTGAAGCCGTCTTGTGTACACGCGATAACAACACACACATAGGCCAACGTAAACCCACTACAATTCTGACACGAGAGACCTAACCAACATTATTCTTACATAAGTTAAGGAGTTATGGCCTGTTTTATCTCCATGGGGGTGGGGTAGGGGTTAACAGGGATGGGGGGGGTGGGGGTTGGGACAGGGATGGGGGGTGGGTGGGGGAGGTTTATGACCCTTCCTATCAACAGACATGCAACATTGCGAACACTCACCGTCATTAACCTCTAACGAGCCTTAAATTACCTAAACTTTCCATCATGAACTGAGTAATTTTTTTAATATATTTTTTTTTATCTCGTTAAAAAATATAAATAATTCTTCCGTTTGTTGAAAGTTAATTACGTATATTTATTTTTTAATTAATTTTTAGGAAATTTCGAGTTTTTTTTAGTTAATGCTGTGTGTGTGTGTGAGTGACTAAAGAACCAATACACACACACACACACAGTTAATAAAATATGACACCGTGACGGTAACTCCTACATACATGGTGGTGTGTCAGCAGCCTGCACTCACACTAGCAGGGAATGACTACTGTATTACATGAACAATAGTGATAAAGGCAGACAAATAGCAACACTGATAATGATAGTAATAAGAGTAATGATAATATTGTAATCGATACTACTACTACTACTACTACTACTTTTTTTTCAAAACGTGGCCTCCAGCCTCCCTCAATAGCTACACCTTCGCCGCCAGTTTATTACCTTAATATTAAATATCCTAATACATAAGAAGCTATCCTAGCAGTGTTGAATTAGTTGAGCCGCAGATCTATGCGGCATTCAGTGACTGTAGCCTCAGAGTCAATATCTGCAACTGTTGTCGGCTTTGGGGCCGAAGCTCTCGTTCCCCTGAGGCAGAGCAAAGCCGACCGAAGGAGAGAGAAGGACAGTCGACATCTTATCCAGGCTGTAACATAACTTCTGGGCTGCTGCTTCTGTTCGTAGGTCACGTCCGCGAGTCTAGTGTAGAAACATCTTGCACTTGGTCCCATCTCACCAGAGGTTGTGAACACTAGAGGAGTGAAGCTGCCTTGATCAACGTTCTGAATTCTCTCCCCGTATGCCCTTATCTTGTCGTTCTCATTCCTCCTGTGTGCAGCATCGAGAGCTAGGTTACGGTGACATGCGCCATGGGATCAAAAATCCTGATGTCGAAGAAGGCTCGCTGTCCCCGCGTCCAGAATCCTCGAGCACTGACTTCAACACGGGCTTCGTTGGATGTGTTTGAAGTCCTATGTTGGAAGATCTCATCGCCCAATGGAAGGAGGGTCGGTTCTACCATGACATCACGGCAGATTTCCTTCAACATATTTGCTTTGAGATCCCTTACTTCGTCATGCCTCATGCATATAAAGCCTCCTTTCTTGCACACCATGGCGTGATCGACGTCATAGGAAGAGCCACACACGCTTTGGGAGGGCAAACCTTCTACTGGCCAACAGTACCTTAGAGCATTGGCATCTGTAAATTCTTGTCTATTGAGACTGAAACCATTTGCCCGTATCGGTAACGTAGTTAACCAGTTCGAGGCGCCCACCTCCTGCGCTATAGCTACTTTTTTTTCAAATTCTCTGGTACTTGTAGCAACAGTTGCTGCAACTTATCACTTTGGCCGTGCTGTCGTTCTGTCATAATGGACCTTCGAATCTTGTTTATTTCTCTGGTATCTACCTCCCCTGTTGCATTCTGAGCTATTATGTGGTCCGTGAAGGCTGCTGTGAGCTTAACTGAGTTTTGATGTTCGGTGGCAGCAATCTCCTCTGGATTGGTCAGTCCCATTCCTCCCAGTCTCGGTGGTAGTCCAAAGAGTGATCTTTCTGCTGGAGTTAAGTGAGGGTGTTTCACTACTACTACTACTACTACTACTACTAATAATAATAATAATAATAATAATAATAATAATAATAATAATATCCACAACAAAAATAATAATACCAATAACTTTAATAACAACTAACAATAAGAACCATCACACCATCACCAGCACCAACAACACCACCACCACCACCACCACCAACAACAACAACAACAACATCACCAACAACAACATCACCAACAACATAATCACCACCACCACCACCTTCACCACCACTACGTACACAGATAAGACACAATCATGCAGAAAGACCAAGAGACTACCATTTACTGACCTTGGTTCTGGTCCTGGTCCTGGTGTTGTCCTGGTGTGGTCCTGGGCTGGTCTGGTCCTTGGCTGGTCCTGGTGTGGTCCTGGTCCTGGTCCGGTCCACTGTTATCAACCAGCAAGTGTCTTTGGGAAGGAAAAAATACCTTCTTTAGTTCACTATTATGTGTAAATAAATGTGTGGGTTTGCATGTAGACAGAACCCAACCCAACCCAACCCAACCCAACCCAACCCAACCCAACCCAACCCAACCCAACCCAACCCAAGCCAACTCAACTCAACTCAACTCAACCCATTTTAAAATATTAGTTTCCATGGTAAACAAATAATTGAAAACATCTTGGAAAAGTATAATTAAATTCGACGCCCTGCCAGCGAATCATGGCAGGGTATATATATATCAAACACAATGAGACGTTGTTACTATAAATTAGTGTAGTTTCTGCTTGAAGCTGTCTCATGCCATCGTTTTCTTAAACATCATAAAAAAATTAAATTATTACCATGGCAACATTTATTAATTTTTAGTACGATTTGCACAGACAGACAGACAGACAGATAGATAGATAGATAGATCGACAAACAGACAGCTAGATCGACAGACAGACAGACAGACAGACAGACAGCTAGATCAACAGACAGACAGCTAGATCGACAGACAGACAAACAGAAAGACAGCTTGATCGACAGCTAAATCGACAGACAGAGAGCTAAATCGACAGACAGACAGCTAAATTGACAGACAGACAGAAAGGACTTAAAACAACTCCGTACCTCATAGTTCTCGGCAAGATTAACCATAAGAGTGGAAAAAGGTGCCATCTTCTTCCCCCCGACAGCTACAAAAGCAACTACAAAAACAACTAAGGACGCCTACAAAAAACTACACGGACAACTACAAAAACAACTACAAAATAACTACAAAAACAACTAGAAACACAACTACAAAGACAAGTATAGAAACAGCTACAAAAACAGCTACAAAAAATAGCTTCTACAACAGCTATAAAAGTGACAGAGGGGGGAAAAAGGCTGAAACACTGGCATCTTTAGCTCCCTGATGACAGCCTAATTGGTATGAACCATTTAGTATTGTCACCTTCTGTCTCTTGTTTTCTCTGACGGAAAGGGGGGGGGGCTAGAGATAGAGAGAGAGAGAGAGAGAGAGACTGACTCTCTCTCTCTCTCTCTTGTACACTCGGTTTCTAATACTCTGTAAGGTCAGGTGTACATGGGTAGGTATACACTTTAGAACAGATTGTATGCAGGTGTGCAGGTGGGAACAAAGGCGATAGTGGTTCAGTTTCTCATCAGCTCACAGTCACACGTACAAAACACCTGAGATGGCTTTGTCCAGGTGAGAATTACCTCCTTGGAAACGAGCAGGTGAGACCCCCCCTCCCCCCTCCGAGGGTCTGGGTGTGTTACTGAGGCGGCCGTCAACACACACACACACACACACATCTACACATACACACACATCTACACACACACACACACACACACACACATATAAACACACACACACTGACTTAAGCAGAACTCTCTCTCTCTCTCTCTCTCTCTCTCACTCTCTCAAACCGTAACCTTTGCTCTAACTTTTTTCCCTAAAACAAAAATATTAACTCGTGTTCCATAACGTCAGTTTGTTTACCCTTTAACTCACATCAAACATTAACCCGTCTAAGGTCAGGATCTTTGCCATTATGCCTCTCAATGTGACCTTTTCATATATTCTGACTTGCCTTTAATGATTTCTCGTATATTCACTCCTAGTTAATGTTGAATTTATCCTTCATGTTTCATCTAAATCATTTTGGTGTAGGTGGTGATGGTGGTGGTGGTGATAGTGGTGGTGATGGTGGTGATAGTGGTGGTGATGGTGGTGGTGATGGTGGTGGTGATGGTGGTGTTCTTGGTGGTGTTGGTGTTGATGGGGAAGCTTTGTTCACACACACACACACACACACACACCAGGCTAGAGGAAATAACATATATTATTATTACTATTATCACTTAACTCTATACAACCTCTCCAATGTATTTGTGATCACAGTTTACAAGGGAGGTTTATTATTATAACTAACTGTAGTCAAGACATGAATTTCAGAACACTTATTCATCCATTTTATATTTACTTTATATAAATCTAATTTGTTTTTTTTTCACTTTAACGATAACGTAATGGTAATTTTTATATAGTTCTTCACACTTTTAATATTTAATCGACAATATGATTAAGTGTGTCGATTAAGTGTCTCGTGGTAAAGGTTGAGTAAGTTAATGAAACGTGTTGGTTCGTGCAGTAGTGGTTTTATTGTAATTAACTGAGTCATACCCACAGTACTTTAATCTATCGTTGGGTGAATTAGTAACTTTTTCGGTGATATGTCAACAGCCGAGAGAGAGAGAGAGAGAGAGAGAGAGAGATGACAGGAGGAGAGCGTCTGTAAGTTCGTTAAGTAATCGAGTTAAGAAAAAAAAAACACAACCATCCATAACATACACCCCCCTGTAGCACCCTGTAGCAGCACCCCCTGTAGCACCCCTGTAGCACCCCCTGTAGCTATGAACAAATAAAAACACTCTTCAAACTTTTGTTACACCCGGAAAAGTAAACAAACAAACAAACATATACTGACTATGTATATGACTGCTGACACATATCCCCCCCCCCCTCAGCAACACCTGTTTGTAATGTTTCCCTGTGACTGAAAAAACTAAATAATTTGTTGTTGTTATCAAGTGTGCGGAGGGAGGTGGAGGGAAGTCATAGAGGTAGGTGTCCAGATATTCCCTAACTATATAAAACTCGATTAAGTCTCTGTACTGTGATTTTTCCTATTAATTGATAAGACTTTAATGACTTACAAAAGATTTATAGAAAAAATATCTTTAAAAATAAAGATTGTAAGGATATTAGACATGACTCGCATCGTTGGCTACTGAGGGTGTCTGGCTTAGCCTGTGTTGACGGACACCTGGCGGACACCTGACTAATAAAGCCAGTGTTGTAGGTCTTCCGTATTGACACAGATAACTGAGTCATCATCAACAGGCCGTTAACGTCTTTGGTTTTAGTGAGAATTAAAGAGATTTTGGTTATAAAATAAACTTTACTGAGATCTCCCTAACCTAACCTAACCAGACCAATTCTTCACAAGTTAAGTTATTTACACCGTGAGTCAACCCAAGTGAGGCTGCTCTCTCCTGTGGGTATGAAGGGCCTATATACCACTCATGTCTCTTTGTTTACATGTCAACTGGCATATATGACAGTGACGTGTGATCAAAGGCTGACATGGTTGAATTACTGTTTACTTGATGTCAGCTGATTGAAAAGACTTGACTGAGATAGAATTTAAGATGTGTGTGTGTGTGTGTGTGTGTGTGTGTGTGTGTGTGTGTGTGTGTGTGTGTGTGTGTGTGTGTGTGTGTGTGTGTGTGTGTGTGTGTGTGTGTGTGTGTGAGGAGTAATGAAAAATGTTTGAGTGTATGTCAGCCGGGGGTTCTTTGATGGGACGCACAAAGTATAAAAAAGTGAAAAAATAATTGGCTCGTTTTCGATTTTCTTTTTATTTCTGTGTGTGCTCCTCCTACGTAGTTTCTCACAATCACAGAGAGAGAGAGAGAGAGAGAGAGAGAGAGAGAGAGAGAGAGAGAGAGAGAGAGAGAGCCTCCACACAATCACCTACGAGCTGAGGTATTCGTAACTGTGCCGCATTCAGTGATCCAAGATCTAATGTAACAGGTGTGATCGGGACTTGGATGCAGCATATAGTCAATATTGCTTTGTGTGAAGGACCTCCTCGCTCAGGAAAGGGCTGGGGGGGGAATTGAAACCAATCTGAACATATGATCTGGAATTGGATCGTGGGATACAGGGGGAAGTGTATGAGTGTGTGTCAGAGTCTTGGTGGGGGAGGTGAGGGGGATTGAGGCAGGCAGGTAGGTTACCCCTCTCTCGTATTGACAATGTATAGGCGATAGAACCAATGCAGGAATGAATTGAAGTACAATATTATTAAATCTGTTTTTTTTTATAATTATCTTGTTAATAAATTCATTACTCAACCTCTTTTGTTTACCAGTTGTATCGTTTATACTCGATCGGTAGTGAATTCTGTCGTTTATACTAAAATGGATAAACGACAGAAGAGAGAGTATTTGATGGAATGGTCTCTCTCTCTCTCTCTCTCTCTCTCTCTCTCTCTCTCTCTCTCATCCATTATCCCACACATGAACCTTTAATATCCTGTTATGGGTCTTTTACACTCTCTTCATGACCACCCTCCACCCCCTCAGACCCTTCACCAGCAACACTTCATAACCCCCCCTCCTCCTACCCCACTAACCCCTCTTGGCCACTTATTTCCTTCAACCCCTCAACCAACCACTTCTTTCATTCAACCAACTCCTCGTGGCCACTTCTTTCCTTCAATCAGCCCCCCATGGCCACTTCTTTCCTTCAACGAGCCCCTCATGGCCAATTCTCACCCCCGACCAAGCATTTCATGGCCTCCTCCCTCCCCGTTTCGTAATGGCCCGTCCATTCTGTCACAAGCACTGGGGCCACCGACTGTGAAATGCCCCATCGCAAGCAGCGGCGCCACCAGCCCACCAGCAGCGTCTCCGCCAGCCAGCTCCTGAGTTGCCTCATTACTTCCTCCTGCTACAAAAGAAATCACTTGTGGCTTCTATGGACCCATCGGCCTCCTGCTGGCCTTGCAAAGGACGTCGTTAGGGAGCAGGAAGTGGCCCGCAAGCGAACCAGAGTTTGCTGTTGCTGCAGACACTGTTGGAGACGCTTTTGAAGATCAGAATTGGCTGTTGTAACAGACAAGTGTCTTCCAGAGGACGTTGTTGCAGGCATTATTTTTGGAAGCACTGATGATGTAGAATTTGTTGTCACAAATGCTATTAAAGGTCTAGAAGGCTGTTGTTGCAGGTGTTGCAACAGGCAGAAGCCGTGCAGGCCAAGCTGTTGCATTTTCTAAGCTCAGAAACAATGCAGAAGACACCATTACAGGCGTTGCTAAAGGCGTTGTGAGGGTGAGAGGAGCTTAAAGGCGGTGTGAAGGTGTAAGACATAGCCCCAGCCTACCGCCTCAAGACTCGGCAGCTG